AACAAGGAGGCCTAAAACAACAGTTGCGCGACGCGGGCCTGCATAGTCCGTCGGGTATTAGAAGCGGCGTGTAGTTAGCTCCGCGACGAGCATCTCAAGTGCGAGCTGCTCGTTGATGGGTTTGGTCTTCAGAAGAAGATCAGTCTCCACGAGTCGACGTGCATGTACTCCAAGTTCGCCTGGCTGATGCGGCGGGCCTGCTGAATGGTCTTATTCAGCACCCACCCAGAGAGACGGATTCGTCGTCCTACCTGATCCTGCGACTCTCCCCTGGCCATCAGATCGTTTGCCATGAGCAGGAGACGCAACTGTCTTGCGATCATGGTCATGACGTAGACCGCCGGGTGGCCATCGTCCATGATGCGTCCGATCAGCCTAAGCGCAACGTCGGTCCTGCCGTCGATGACTGCGTCGACAGCCTGGAAGATGTTGGCCTCCCGCACGTAGGCGACCATCTCCCGGACATCGTCCACGGAAGCCGGACGGTCTCCGCAGTAGAGCGCGAGCTTGCGGAGCTCGGAGTCGATCAACATCGGCTGTCGCCCTACGGCGTCCGCCAACACCGCACATGCGTTGCGATCGATGCCGACGCCAATGCCGTTGGCGCGGTCGGCAATCCAGTTCGGCAGATCGCGTTCAGAGGGCATCCTGAACTCTCGCACTTCAGACATCGGTGAAAGGCGCCTGAGCATCGGATTGTTCCCTGACAGAGCGCCGTCCACGAATAACAGGTTAGTTGTGGGCGGCAGGGAATCGAGCTGGTCCGCCATGCCTGCCCACTCTCTGAGGGGGTCTCGGCCAGCGCCTGAAGACGATGAACCCCTGCCCTGCCTTGAGCGCTCAAACCGGGTTAGTAGGTCCTGACGACAACTGTGCGGCGATCGGTCATGAATGGCACGGTAAACGCCGCCGCCATTACCGAGTTGGGTGTCAGGTCGTCAGCACGAAGAGATATCTGATTCACGTCCCGCAGGTCTTCCGGGCCGGAACCGGCCGTCAACTCGGCCAGGGCTTCTTCGACTCCTATCGAGTCGTCCCCGTACAGTAACTGGATCAACGGAGTGGCACCTTGTCCAAAGGCTCTCCTTCCTGACTTGAACGAGAGCCCGGATTACTCCATAACTCGGAGGGTGGATGGTATATCTGTCTTCCTTAGCCTGAAGATCGTGAACAAGGGGGCGACTGCCACCGCGATCACACTCAACGCTACCACGGTGACTAAGCTCGCGGGATTGAACACGATCTCCAGTCCAAGGTCGGGGAACGCATTGGGCATGAGTACGTTGGCAACCCACTGAAGCATGAGGTAACCACCAACCAACCCGACAAGTGTGGCGATGATTCCCAGTACCGCACTCTCCACCACTGCCATACCAATTATGGTTCGTGCTGGAAGCCCGTAGGCCAACATTGTCGCGTGTTCACGACGCCTCTCGTCCATGTTTATGCTTGCAGTGTTGTAGGCTATCAACAGGGCCAGGACGACCACGAAAGTCAGTATGAATCCCAGCAGGCTCGTATATTGCTCGAACTGGTCCTGAAACACTTCGCTGAAAGCCGTCGCCTTCTGCACAGAGGCTACTCCTGGCAGGGCGAACATCTCGATCTTCAGGTCAGATGCCTCAACGCCATCAGCAGGCAGGGCCTGTACGACGTTCGTCATATTCGCAACGCCAAGGTGTTCACAGTGGCGGCAGTCCACATAAACGCCGACTCTCATCGGGTTTGCGTGAAGTCCGACGACTTCCAGGTCTGACCGCCCCAGGCTGAACATGCCCAGGTCGGAAACCTCGGGGTGAACCAGACTAACCATGTCCCCCGGGGCCAACGCCCAGGTCTTCAGCAGCCTTCTTGGAAATTACGATGCCCGGCCTGGAAGCATCCAGGGCCCCTTCCACAATGGTCGGACGCCATATCTCACTTTCGTAGTCAATGTATTGAATGAATACTTCGAAGGAACTGTCTTCGGTGGAGATTGTCCCACCCGTGCGGAGCGCCGTCTCGGCCATACCTGCTCCGGGAGAGCCCAGGACCCCCTGAACGAGAGGATCGTCCGTCGGGTAAACAGTATCCAGGGTGATTTCGACGCGGTCCGGCGAGGTCCCGGCGGTCTCGGTCCCGACGCGGTCGATGGTCTCTAAGAACGAGTCAAGCATTCCCAGCACCGTCACCATGACAGTGACGATGGCTCCGATTGCGAGGGCAGTCAGAAGTGTCCGGCGAGGCGCGCGGGCCACGTTTCTGAAAGGTATCTGCCTAATCGTCTGTCCTGGGATCCTGATCAGTGTAAGTAACTTGGGCATCCCACCCGCCCGGTCCGCGAGGTGACCCGTCCTGATGGCCTCGATGGGGGCGACTCTTACTCCGTTCCATACGGGAATAGCGGTTGCGAGGAAAGGAACCAAAAAGCCTATAGCACCTGCTGCCGCGAACACTTCAAATTGGAACGGAGTTCGCCACGCGGGAGAGGTAGGAAATCTGAAAGATAGCTCCCAAGTACTTCCGCAACGCCGATTCCCATTGCTATGCCGAATACAACGCCGAGTAGCGCTACCTGAGCACTGAAGAGCAATGGTCTTAGCGCGACCAAGGGTGTGGGAACACCCAGGGCCATTGCAACACCGATTTCACGCCTCTGCGAATCAACGATTCGGCTGGTCAGATTGAAAGCTGCGAATACCGCTCCACCGAAGATCGCTATGGCGAGCACGGTGTTGAACTGCTGGTCACCTTCCACGTCTTCGATCATGAGTCTTATGGAGGGGTCGTCCAGCCTCCGGGTCACCGTACCTCCCAACTGGCTAAATCGCTCGCTCATTGCGTCGAACAGAGCGTCCTCGTCAGCCCCAGGCTCAAGTCTTAGCACCAAATCATTGACCTTGCGGTCCATGTCAGTGAGCTGTTGGGCGGTCTCGATGGAGGTGAAGACCGCGGCAAAGTTGGCCTGGGCGAGGATACCCCCCTCCGGGGTGATGACAAAGAAATATTCGGGGGCCAGTGATTGCCCGACATAATTGACAGGGACTGCACCAGCGAGGAGCGCGCTCCCATCGGGTGGCAGGTCGTAGAACCTCGCGAAGTTGTGCTCCAGGGTTACGACGTTAGAACCGGCATCCGTTTCGGACAGGTTTCTGCCGACTTGCGGATGCAGCGAGTTCACATGCGGACCACTGTCGGTCAGGTCCACTCCAATGATGCGTCCCGGGACAAGTATCTTATCCTCCGCGGTCTCAATCGAGACCTGCGTAGGCAGGATAAGTCGCTCCTCGGCAACGGCAACTGTGCTGCCGTCGATCTCAGAGAGGGTTTCGAGCAGAACTCCACGATCGACCAGGCTGCCTTCACTAAGAGATACACGCAGGTCAAAGGTGTTGGCAGCCGCATAGCTTGCGTCGTTGGAGAGGCCACGCCAGACATTCATGCTGCGCAGACCGGAGAACAACCCCGTTCCGACCGCGATGACGATGGCAATTGCTGCGACCTGCACCCACCTCGAACGGAGATCGCGCCATGACCACTTTAGCCAGATCAAGGAAGATCCTCGCATCTGTCTCGTAGGAGGCGAGCGGCCAGCCGGAAATTACTAGACAATTAATCGCTCCCCTACCGGGTCCATATCTCCCCCTGCTCTACTGATTCTAGCAAGCATACTGTACGCGCAGTGGGCTTGCAGAAGTACCGCGGCCAGCGAAGACTGATGGGCCAGGACGCGTGGTCAACAGCTCTGCATTGACTAGGAGTCGATACCGGGGATCGGGAACCCTGGCGCCATTTCAAGCACTTCGTCTCGGACCTGAGACTGTACGGCATTGTTGTCGATGTCGTTAAGCACCCTGAGGATCATTTCACCGACACTGCGCGCGTCGTTCTCTCTTAACCCTCTGCTCGATATGGCAGCAGTACCCAGACGAACGCCGCTGGCTACGCGAGGCGGCTTGGGGTCGTACGGGATGGCGTTGCGGTTGACCACGATATTTGCCCGTCCCAGCGCCTCTTCAGCCTGTCGGCCTGTAACTTCGAGAGGACGCAAGTCCACCAGTACCATGTGATTGTCGGTCCCGCCTGACACCAGCCGGAGTCCGCCACCTGTCAGGGTATCTCCCAAGGCCACGGCATTGGCCCTTACCTGCTTCTGGTAAGCGGAGAATTCTTCGGTCATCGCCTCGCCGAAGGTGACTGCCTTGGCGGCTACGGCGTGCTGAAGTGGACCTCCCTGAGCGTTGGGGAATACAGCCCGGTCCACATTGCGTGCGAGGTCAGAGTCACAGAGGATCACGCCGCCGCGCGCGCCTCTAAGCGTCTTGTGGGTTGTAGAAGTGACCATCTGGGCATGGCCGACCGGAGTGGGATGTTCGCCGGCTGCAACGAGGCCTGCGATGTGGGCGATGTCTGCCATGAGTATCGCGTCACCTTCGTCGGCGATCTCTCGGAATTTGTCGAACTCGATCGTACGAGTGTATGCGGTCGCTCCGCTGACTATGATCTTGGGACGATGTTCCATTGCCAGGCGCCGTACTTCGTCGTAGTCGATTAACTCCAACTCGCGATCGACGGTGTACGGAACAAACTCGTACAGCTTGTTGGAGAAGTTCACTGGGCTCCCGTGGGTGAGGTGGCCGCCGTGATCCAGACTGAGCCCCATCACGTGTGTCGCCGGGCTGGATCGTGGCGAAGTAGGCAGCCATATTGGCCTGAGCGCCGGAATGTGGCTGTACATTTGCGTGATCGACTCCGAAGAGTTCTTTAGCACGCTCGACGGCCAGTCTCTCTGCTACATCAATGAACTCACATCCGCCATAGTAGCGCCTTCCAGGATAGCCCTCAGCGTACTTGTTGGTCATCACCGAGCCCTGGGCCTCCAGGACGGCACGGCTCGCGTAGTTCTCCGAGGCTATGAGGTTGATATTCTCGCGCTGCCTGCGGATTTCTCCCGTGATGGCCTCGGCAATTTGGGGGTCACTCTCCCAGAGCGTAGTCATAGGGTGATTACTCCCTCTCGCGTCGATGGTTGGCCGAATCGACGTCTTTGGATGAATTGTATTGGCCGACCCCACTCCGGGCAAGGTGAATTTGGCTGGAGCACATCTGGTCATGCAAGCTCTGTAGATGTTGATTCCCCCTGTGACCGGGTTCGGGCTATAATCTATCTACTGATAAGAAAGGGGGTGCCCAATGCTGCGTGGTCTGTTTTATCTACTGAGTATGACGGGCATCCCGCGAATACTTTTCAGGCTAATGGTCGATAGTCGGGTACCGCTTAGGCTCAAGTTACTGTTGCCGGCAGCAATCGCGTACATCATCCTGCCGTTCGACCTTGTTCCTGACTTCATTCCGTGGGGAATTGGCAGACTCGACGATGTCTTGGTGCTCGTCTTGGCAGGACTGCTGCTCATGCTGCTCGCGCCGAGAGAAGTGCTTATGGAGATCTCCGGCTCTCCCCAGCAGGAAGGGACAAGGCACGACGCTGGTAAAGGGAAGAGAGTGATCGACGGCGACTACAGGAGACTCGACGACGATTAAGGCAGCACGTCTGACCACATGCAGATCACGATAATCGGACTGCCTTACAGCGGCAAGACCACCATCTTCAACGCTGCCACCCGGGGCTCGGCCCAGGGTCGCGCAGTATTCGTCAGCATCCAGGCCCAACATTGGGGTGGCAAAAGTCCCCGATACAAGGCTGGGCACGCTGACCCAGATCTATCAACCCTCCAAGACGACCCCAGCCGAGATAACCTACGTGGATCTTCCGGCGGCACCAGAAGGACTGGGAAAGACCAGGGGTGTTTCTGGCGAATACCTGAACCAGCTTCAGAACGCCGACGCGCTGGCGATAGTGGCCCGCAGCTTCGAGGATCCATCCGTTCCTGACGGGGGTGACGGCGTCGATGCGTTCCGCGACATAGAGACCATGCTCTACGAGCTGACGTTCGCCGATCTGGAAATCCTGGACCGCCGCATCGAGCGGATTGAGCAGAACAGCAAGGGTTCGCGTTCAGGAGACCGAGAGGCGATGAATCGCGAGCGGGCGGTGATGTCTACGCTCAAAGAAGGGCTTGAATCCGGCGTTCCAATTGGAAAACAGAAGCTGAACTCGGACGAACAGAGAAAAGTGAACGAGTTCCAGTTCCTCACTGCCAAGCCGGTGATCGTGGTAGTAAACGCCGGAGAGGAGCAATCAGACGAGATCGATGAGATCCAGTCTCGGCTCGACTCGGAGGTCGCCGAGAGTGATGTGCTGACCGCGGTATTGGTTGGGAGCCTCGAGATGGAGCTTGGTCAAATGTCGGCTGAAGACGAGGCCGAGTTCCGCGAGTCGCTGGCGGTAGGTGAGTCGGGTCTGGACAGGATGGTGCGGCTCTCCTACCAGGCGCTCGACCAGATCACGTTCTTCACGGGGGGGCCGAAAGAGGTCAGGGCGTGGACCATTACGAACGGAGATCCAGCCGATCGCGCGGCGGGTTCGATCCACTCCGACATGGAGCGAGGGTTCATAAGAGCTGAGGTCGTCGCCTACGATGATCTCGTACGCCATGGCAGCGAGGCTGAGTCGCGCAGACATGGAGTGCTCAGACAGGAGGGCAAGGGATACGTGGTCAACGACGGCGACGTGGTACACGTTTTGTTCAACGTTTAGAGACCGGGAGGTCAGGATGGGTTATCAGTTCATCGAATACGAGGCGTCCAACGGCATTGGTCGAGTGAGTCTCAACAGGCCGGAGAAGCTGAACGCGCTCAGCCGCGAGCTTCAGGACGAACTGGTGGACTGTCTAGAGCGGGCCGACGACGACCCGGATGTTCGAGTCATGACGTTGAGAGGAAACGGCAGGGCGTTTTGTGCCGGATACACATCACACCTCCCTCGAATCCTGAGGCACAGGCCGCAGCGCAGGAACGGAGGGACAACATTCGCTCAGACATTCACCGCATGAAGCGTACTCCCAACACGATGAACAGCATCCTGAATCTCAGCAAACCTGTGATCGCCGGGGTACATGGATACTGCATAGCGGGCGGGACCGACCTCGCAATGCACTGCGACATAATCATCGCGGCCGACGACGCACAGATCGGGTTTCCTCCTGTGCGGTCGATGGGCACGCCGCCAACTCACATGTGGACCTACATGGTGGGACCACAGTGGGCCAAATGGTTCCTGCTGACGGGAGAGTCGGTGTCTGGGACTCGCGCCGAGGAACTGGGACTCGTCTGGAAGTCGGTTCCTGGAGAAGGTCTGGGCGCAGCCGTCGAAGACCTGGCGCGGACGATGGCGAGGATACCCTGGGAGCTCCTGGCGGCGAACAAGAGCATCGTCAACAAGGCGATGGACCTGATGGGGCGAACTACCCTTCAGCATATAGCCGCTGAGACGGACGCGATCGCGCACCAGGCACCGGTCGTCAAAGAGTTCAGCCGCATGGCGAGAGAAGAGGGTCTCAAGGCCGCCCTGGAGTGGCGGGACGGTCCCTTCAGGGACTACCGAGGAAGTAGCGACTAAGGTCTAAAGCTTCAGGAGCCTCGACAGGCGCTTATGGCCCCGGCATGGCCCCACGACCGCAAGGTTGAGGTGGTCATCGACCAGATTCTGGGAAGCCACTCGGCACAGAGATCCTCGGAAGTCACAGCCTCTACCCGTTGAACGACGTGGTCCACATCGAGCATTTCGCCGCGGACCATCTCCTGACTACCCATCCAGGCTGACACCGCGCGGGTGTCTTCCATTCGGAGCATTAGGCGACCGGCCACCAGTTGTTTGGCCCGTTCTACCTCCCGCTCGTCTATCGAGTCGCGGACAGATGCCACCTGCTCGAGTATCGCCGGACCGGCCTCGTAGGCGCTCGCCGGATCGACACCTGCGCTTATGATGAATGCGCCAGTGTCCCGGAAGTGGGAGACTCCGCTATGCACGTCGTAAGCCAGGCCCCGATTCTCGCGCAACTCTACGAATAGCCTGCTGCTCATACCCTCGCCCAGAATCACGCTCAGGAGATCAAGTGCGTAGATGTCTGGATCGTCGAGAGCGAGGCCCGGAAGAGCTATGGACAAGTGAAGCTGTTCGGTCTTCTTGTACTCGAGTCTTAGCTGTGACCGCTGCTGATGGCTTCACGGTAGCTTGGGCCGTTGGACACCATCAGGCCAGTCCAAGGAAAGCTTCTCCACCTGTTTCGACTACTTCCGAGTGAGGAACGCTGCCAGCCACACTTATCACAGTGTTGGAAGGCGTGTAGTACTCATTCATGTGCTTGACAAGCATGTCACGGTCAACGCAATCGACCGATTCGTGTGAGCCGCCAATGTCCCTCCTTCGCACGTGGTCATGCCAAGAGCATCTCATCGATAAGAGAATCTACCCGTGAGGCCGGGTAGTCATTAATCATTGCAAGCTCTTCGTGGATGACATGCCGCTCCTTCTCTATGTCATCCTGCCTGCAGAGCGAGTTTTGGAGCATGTCTAATAGGAGGTCCAAGCTCGCGGAGAAGTACGGCTGGGCGACCTTGCACCAGTAGACTGTCAGCCGCTCCTGCTCAGTACCGGCGTTTATCATTCCGCCAGTGGACTCGATCTGCGCGCTGATGTCGACGGGGTCGGGCCGGCGTTCCGTGCCCTTGAACACCATGTGCTCAACGAAGTGTGAGACGCCCGCATGATCATCAGGCTCGTACCTGAAGCCGACGCCTACGTAAGCAGAGATAGCTACGGACCTGGTGTGCGGCATCTCACACGACACAACACGTAGGCCATTCGCTAGTGTTGTCTGTTCATATCGCTGCGAGGGCAAGCTGTTGGAAGTCATCGCTTAGATTCTAGTTACGTGTAACTCATACGGCCAAAGCGCGTTTCGGGTCAATTCTCGAAAGATTCTACTGCTTGGGTGCAATCTCGACGCCAGCCCTCTCCTCCTGGACAATCGCGACGGCTCCCGCGGCCATCCGGCCAAATCCCCGATTCTGGCCGTCTATGTAGCGCTGCTGGGCGATGTTGGACATCTCCATGGGAACCCGCAACTCGCGTCCGAGTTGGGTAGCAAGACCGACGTCTTTGGCGGCGAGGTCGAGTGCGAACCCCGGCTCAAAGTTTCGCCTGAATATGCCGTTCGGGAAACCGTGCATCGAGTTCGTGTTGCCGGAGCTGCCCGACACCGCTTCGTACAGAGTCTGTGCGTCGACGCCCCACTTGACACCCATCGAGAACGCCTCGGAGAGCAGCACGCCCACGCTCAATCCCACTAGATTATTAACGATTTTGCAGACTGCGCCTGATCCCAGACCGCCACAGTACATGACCTTGTCCCCAATAAGGTCGAGGACGGGCTTATACCGGTCATAGGTATCCCGGTCTCCCCCGACCATTACACAAAGGGTAGCGGCTTCGGCGCCGCCTGTGCCTCCCGATACCGGCGCGTCGAGGAGTTCGATGCCACTTGCTTCGGCACGAGTGGCAATGCGTTGAATGGTGGTGGGATCCGTGGTGCTGAGGTCGAACAGCGCACTTCCTCTACTCGCTCCGCTGAACACACCACCCTCGCCAGAGGCGACTTCCTCGACAACCTGCGGAGTTGGCAGTGACGTGAAAATGACTTCACTACCTTCGGCGGCTTCGCGAGGGCTGTTTGCCCAAGTCGCACCCAAAGACAGCGCTTCGTCAGCCGCATCTCTATTTAAATCGTACACTTTCATTTCATGCCCGCCGTTCAGCACGTTTCGTGCCATGTGACGGCCCATGAATCCAACACCGACGAATCCGACCTTCATGTTACGATTCCTCCAAAGGAACTTGCTTGCGAACAGTGCATTCGGTGCTCATGTTAATGGCAATGAATTGCCCAATCAACGACAATCCAGCACACCCGTGGCTAACGGCTGAATCGCTTGTGGAAACTGGCTCATCTAAACAGTGCGTAACCAAAGACAGCCGTGCCAATTGGATGGCCCGACAGTCAGAGTGATTACAGGAAGTACCCATGTACCAATTGCCGAGAGTCACCCGCCATCACACCTCGATATTCGCATTCCTTCTGGCAGCCTTTGCCGTACTCGCAGTTGGTTGCTCATCGAGCGAAGACAGCACGCCTCCCCCTGCTGAGGCGGCCGTTACGAGTCCATCGCTGGCCGTTCAGGCGGCCCCAACGGCGCCCCCGACGGTTCCCCCCGCTGCACCCATGTCCCCACCTCCTACAGCCACAAGCGTGCCCGACACACCGACACCAATGCCGGAGCCTATTGTAGATACGACCGCGTTCAAGGACGCACCAGAGCTCCAACAAACAGGCGAGTGGATCAACTCGGAGCCGTTCACGCTTACCGGAATGCATGAAGAGGGTAAGGTCGTCCTGATCGACTTCTGGACGTACACCTGCATCAACTGCATTCGGACTCTGCCCTACGTGAGAGTCTGGCACGAAAAGTACGCGGACCACGGTCTGGTGATACTTGGCGTGCATACGCCTGAGTTCAAGTTCGAGGAAGTGTACGACAACGTAGTCGAGGCCGCGGGCAAGTTCGCACTAGAGTACCCGATCGTGCAGGACAACGACTTCGGCACCTGGAGAGCGTTTAACAACCGCTACTGGCCTGCCAAGTATCTGATCGATCACAACGGGAAGATACGCTACTCCCACTTCGGTGAGGGAAAGTACGAAGAGACAGAACTCAAGATTCGCGAAATCCTAACTGAAGCTGGATACGACGTCAGCGACATTACGACGGACACTGATCCCGGGCCACCAGTTGCCTCGGCAGCGATGGAGGCTACGTCGGCGTCAGAAGGGCCGACGCGGGAACTCTATGCGGGATATGAGCGCAATTATGGAACGCTTATGTCCGGTGGCGTACCTCCATACGTGCTACATGAAGAGTACTACGAGGCACCGGATATGGAGGTGATGTACGAGGACCCAGGCGAGCATCGCAACCATTTTCTGTACTTGAATGGTCTTTGGCTGAACACCGCAGAGAGCATAGTCCATGCCCGTGAGACCATGGATCTGGAGGACTACATCGCCCTCAAGTTCATGGGGACAAGTGTAAATGCAGTCATGACTCCGGGTGAGGCAACCCCTTATGACGTTGTGATCTATCTTGATGATGGCCCAATACCCGAAGAGCGCGCCGGGCGAGACATCATGTACGGCCCTGACGGGAGCAGCTACATTGAAGTTGATGAGTCCCGGATGTACTTCCTCGTCGACCAACCGGCGTTCGCCTCAGGAGAGCTGAGGCTGGCGTCGAACTCACCAGAGTTCTCATTGTTCGCGTTCACATTTGGATCCTACGAGGGCGGGGAGCCGGGCAGCGAGTCTTAAATTGCGCTCAAACGTTGTTCTAGCGGCTCTTCTCCTGTTTGCACTGGCCTGTTCGGTGTCAGAAGATGCAGCATCGGCAGTTGAAGTCGCATCGCAGCAAGAAGCTGAACCCCTAGCCTTCGAAGAACTTATCCGCGGGCCGGTGTCGGCGGACGGTCTTCAGGCGATATTCGCGACGCCTGACCTCGGTGTTGGCAAGCACAGAGTCGCGTTCGCCCTGCAGTCGCAGACCGCGCTAATCGACTCGCCTTCAGCAACGGTGCAGTCGTTCTTCGAACCTGACCCTGAAGAGCTCGGGGAGCCGGTAGAGACTTCGCTTGCACTGTTCAGACCGTTTCCTATCGTTGAACGGGGCCTCTACAGCACTAACCTGACATTCGACCGTCCGGGGGAGTGGGCGATCCAGGCTACCGTTCTTGGGGACGATGTCATTCCGAAGCGCGCAAGGCTGTACTTCGAGGTACCGGAGCTATCAAAGGCGCCGGCAATAGGGGATACCGCGATCAGGAGTGTCAACCGTACCGAGAGTGACGTGGAGAGTCTATCCCAGCTGACCACCGGATCTATGCACGACCCGGACCTCTACGAGTTGACGATCGAAGAAGCGGTGGAGAGCGGCAGGCCAACCGTGATCGTGATGGCTAGTCCTGCATTCTGCACCAAACGCCGTCTGCGGGCCACAGGTCGAAGTGCTTAGGGACCTCAAGAACGAGTACCCAGACAGCGCCAACTTCATCCACATCGATCTCTACGACAACCCGGAGGAGATCCAGGGAGACCTCGACAGGGCAGTAATCTCGCCAGTGGTCAGGGAGTGGAACCTGCCGAGCACTGAGTGGTCGTTCGTCGTCGACAGCGAGGGCAAGATCGCAGGCAGATTCGAGGGGTTCTGCACTCTGGAGGAGCTGCGAGAGGCGTTAGTGTCCGTACTTTAGATATCCGCGCCTTCGAACCTGGCTATCTCGACAAACCCCTTTTCGGAATCGTCCCAGTCGAACAGTCGCGCCTCGACGACGCGGTCGGTATCTATTCCGATGACCAGCTGCCGAACTGGATAGACGGGGCCATCGCCCCACGGGTCAGTCGCCACTTTGCGGTCGGTCTCTGAGAAGTAGGCCCTGCCGTTGGGGTGTGAGTGGTATATGACGCGGGGCGGCTCAGGATCGTCCATGGTGCCATTCAGCTCGATCAGCTCGGCGCCGTCGATGACGTAGGCGGTCTCCGCGGTCCGGTCGGGAGCGGTGGGATGGGCTGAGGGCTGATAGGCATTCACCGCGCGGCGCACCCGGGTCACGCTGTCGGACTCTCTTGGGCCAATCAGCCAGCCGCAACACTCGTTGGGAAAGTCTCCCCTCGCATGACTATATATATCGGCCAGGATTTCGGTGGGTATGTTCATGTTCTGGTCCGTCTTGCTTGTCACTAGTCTTCGATTATGAAGCTGAACGCTGCTGGGCAGATTACCAAGAAAATAGCATCGAACACCACGAGCAGCGGAATCCAAGTGGAGACTCCGGGGCCAATGAGTCTAAAGGTTGAGGCCCCATCTCCGGATACGGCTTCCCGTAGAAGAATCCCGGTCGCCTCTGCTGCACCAATGATCACCGGCACTATGACCGGGAAGAACAGGAGCGGCAGCATGACTTCCCTAGAGCGAGTGTTGACCGCCATTGCACTAAACACAGTACCCACTGCCGCAATCGCGATCGTCGCGAGGACCAGCACCGGGATGACCGAGTACACAGTCAGGGGCAGATTGAACAGCACCAGGAACAGGGGGTAAATAACCACCTCCACACCAATCATGAACAGAAAGTTGCTGAGGAACTTCCCGAAGTAGATTGCATCGCGCCCAACGGGGGCGAGCATGAGCCCCTGCAGATTCCCGCGAGCGCTCTCGATGCTGAACGAACGGTTCAGTCCCAGGACTCCTCCGAACGTGAATGACACCCACAGGATTCCAGGGGCGACGGTCGCGACCATGGTTGGAGTGGGATCGAGTGCGAAGTTGAACACGACGATGACCAGGAGCCCGAACACGAGCGTCGTCACCAGGATGTCCTTGGTCCTTAGTTCCAGTAGCAGATCCTTGGCGACGATCGCGAAAATCACACCGAAGTAGGTCCTCACTGACGAGCACCCACATGTTGTAGGTAAGCATGGCGAGAGGCTTCTGGGTTGGTTGCATCCACAGGCTCGTTGTAGGCAACTCGTCCTTTAGCGAGTACCGCCATGCGGTCGCCAAGGACCACCGCGCGCTCCAAGTTGTGTGTGGTCATGATCACCGTCCGGGCCGAGTCCGACCGGCTGGCAATCACTGAATCCAAAAGCGACAGGGCCTCCTGGTCGAGGCCGCTCTCAGGTTCGTCAAGAAGTAGGACCTCAGGGTCGTGCAGCAGCGCTCTGGCAATGCTGAACCGCTTCTTCATGCCGTGGGACATGGCGCCGATCTTCCTGTCGAGATCGGGGGCCATTCCCATGAGGTCGGAGACAGCGTGAACGCGCTCATCGGTGCGGTCAAGATCGAACACTCTGCAGACGAATCTGAGGTTTTCACGGGCCGTCAGGTCATCGTAGAGGAGCGGATCATGCCCAACTACACCGATCCGGCGTCGAAGGCGAGCACTTTGTCTTCCAAGTACGACACCGCAGATTCCTACCTGGCCAGCGTCGGGCTTCGTTTAGCGTGGACAAGACTCTTATGAGGGTTGTCTTGCCTGAGCCGTTAGGTCCAAGAAGGCTGAGCACTGTGCCCTTCGGCACATCAAGATCTATTCCACGAAGAACCGAGGTGCGTCCAAACGCCTTGGTCACGCCTCGTATCTGAACTGCGGGCTGTTCTTCAGCAGACGTCTTCATTGAGATATCGAACGCGTGCCGTTTACTCCGAGGAATCCGAATTCGCTTGACGCTGGTAGGGTTCCCCTACGTTATCCTGTTCCCACTCGTCGCGAAGAATAGAGTAGGTAACCGTATCCTCTCTGATGTTGGGGGCGTGCTCACTGGGGCCGCTGCTTCGAGTAATCCCTTCTCGCTGCATCCCGAGCTTTTCCATAACCCTCCACGACTGGCCATTTTCGAGATCGGCTTTGGCACAGATTCGCGCCAGGTTGTATTCCCTAAAAGCCCAGTCTACCGCCGCTCTACCCGCCTCCAGAGTGATGCCCCGTCCCCAGTGCGCCCTTCCGATCGCATAACCTATTTCGGCAGCGCTGTTTCGCAGGTCCAACCTGATGTTGATCGATCCAATTACAGTCCCACTAAGCGAAATTGCGAAGTGGGGATTTGTATTCCAGTCAGAGGCGAATGAGCTTGCGACAAACTCCTCCGCGTCCCGGTATGTGTAAGGATTTGGTAATGGAAGGAAGTGAGACCAGTCCGGATCCTGGGCATACTCATAGACCTCTCGGACGTCGCTCAACTCGAAGGGGCGCAGGAGCAGGCGGCGGGTTTTCAGATTGATTGGCCTAGTCATCCTAGTTATCCTCTTTACAGATCGGACCCGGTCATCGGCAAGACCGCGTCCCTGTAGTATAGATGACACCGATCCCAAAGTTGGCAAGCGGAAGTGAGTGAGAAAGCCAGATGCCCACTATCGAAGAACTCCAGAGGCATTACGAGGGTCTGAACGAACTGCACAGGAAGCCAAAAACAGAGGAGGAGATAGACCCCGGCTGCCTGCTCGCCTTCGACTACGACTACCCGGGTAGCGGGGCGGAGGTCGTAATCGACACTGACGAGTTCACCGCCGTATGTCCGTGGACTGACCTGCCAGACTTCGGGACACTTGAGATCAGGTACGTGCCTGACAGGCTATGCATAGAGTTGAAGTCGCTCAAGTACTACCTGCTGAGCTACGAGGGAGTCGGGATCGTCCAAGAACACGCTGCCAATCGGATTCTGAACGATCTGGTGGGACTATGCAGACCGAGGAGCATGACGATCGCGCTGGACTACAAGGTCAGGGGCGGGTTACACACGAAGGTCAGCGTCACGTATGGCGGGAACGGGGTCTAGCAGAACGTGTGCAGGGTCAGCGCCCAAGGGCGTCCAATCTTTCGAATAGGTCGTTGAACACGGCATCTCTGTCAACGCGCGTTACAACGCGTACCGGGTGGCGGCTGGGGTCGAAGCTGTAGCGTAGGTCTTCATTGAAAATTGGGCTCGGTGTCAGATGGCTCTGAGTCCAGTTGGGGTCCATTAACCAGGCGCCGACTGCCAAGTCCCAGATGGGCTTGCTTCTGCCCGGGAAGTCCGACACAAAGTCACGGTAAAGCTGGTACAGATAGTCTCCAATGGCACCACGTCCCTTGACGTGACGCGCCATTTCGGGCTCCGTCGTTCTCATCATCTCTGACACCACGTATCCGACGACATGGACCAGCGGAACGCCGCTATCAAAGAGTACCCTGGCCGCGTGGACATCCTCGGTGAAGTTCAAGTCGGCATACGAACCAGTTTCGTAGGGCGATCCCCCGAGTGGTATGACCACAATCTTGCTTACAATGTCGGGATCCGCCAGGATTGCTGAAGCTATGTTCGTCATGGCGCCAAGGGCTAATACGTACAGGGGGGCATCCCGGTCAGCCAAAGCTCGTACGACGAGGTCGTCAGCGACTTCGCTTGGAACTTGGCGATCAGGGCCTGACATGAACTCGCTCGAACCTCGAAGAACGGGGCCGGTGAACTCCCCAGGCATCTTGTCGAGCACCCTCTGAATCTCCTGATAGCTGCGCTCCATGCCCTCTCCTGGGCCGGATGTCTGCGCCCACTCGCCGTGAAATGGGGCTGCGTAGATTGCTTCAACATTCAGGACGTCAGACAGCAGCGCGTGGGCAATGGCGAACTGGTCGTCTATCTCGTTGGCTGTATCGGTGTCGATGACTACGTCGCATGGACCGTTTGGATGCTGCAGGAGTTTTAACCAGCCTGGGCAAGTCGATCTCTGGGTATGGCATTTTCACAAGACCTCTAGGGCGTATGATATAAATCGCCGCGTATTGAATATACAATGGCGCCGCTCACACTTGGCAAGGGAAGTGAAATGACAAGGATACTGGTCACCGGAGCGGCTGGTCAGATCGGATCAGAACTCGTTCCGGCGCTTCGGGAGCAGTACGGGAGCAAGAACGTCGTCGCTGCGGGGCACCGTACTCCGCTGCCTGGTGCCGTGCGGGACGGCGGGCAATCCATCACCCTCGACGTGACGGTCCAAGCTGATGTAGAGGCCACGATACGTGACCTCGGCATTGACGTGATCTACCACATGGGGTCGATACTGTCCGCCCTTGCGGAAGCGAACCGGCAAACGGCCCACGCGGTCAACATCAACGGGCTGTACAACGTGCTCGAGGCCGCCCTGTCCTGCGGTGTATCCCAGGTAAATGTTCCAAGCTCGATTGCGGCATTCGGCCCGGACACTCCGACAGTGGATACGCCAAACGAGACGCTACAGCGGCCGAACACGCTCTATGGAATCTCCAAGGTCTTTGGGGAGTTGCTCGGAAATTACTACTTCGAGAAGTTGGGGCTGGACGTTCGTGGCCTACGGTTGCCGGGAATTATCAGCTGGAAGACGGAGCCGACGGCTGGGACAACAGACTATGCTGTGGCGATCTTTTACGGCGCTCTAAGGGAGGGCAGGTACGAATGCTACCTTGGGCCTGATTCTAGACTTCCGATGATGTACATGCCGGACTGCATCAAGGCGATAGTGGACCTGGCAGAGGCGGACGTATCTAAACTCAGGCATCACGCCGACTTCAACGTGGCGTCGATCAGCTTCACTCCGGACGAGTTGGCGGCGGCTATCAGGAAACGGATTCCTGACTTCGACATCGAGTACAATGTAGACCCACTTCGACAGGGCATTGCGAACTCGTGGCCCGATTCTCTGGACGACACCGCTGCACGAGAAGAGTGGGGCTGGAGTCCCACCTACGACCTCGATGAGATGGTGGACGACATGCTCGAGAATCTCTCTGTGAAGCTGGACATACAGCGCAACTGACAACCCTTCCAGGAGGCTGAGGAATGAGACTCGAAGGCAAAGTAGCCCTGATTTCAGGCGGCGCCCGAGGGATGGGAGCGGCCGAAGCCAAGCTGTTTTCGCGAGAGGGGGCGAAGGTCGTCATTGCGGATGTACTGGAGGCTGAGGGACGCCAGACAGAGGCCGAGATCAATGAGATGGGCGGCGACGCCATATTCGTTACGCTTGACGTGACCAAGCAGTCCGACTGGGACGCAGCGATCAGCAAGACCATTGAGCAGTTCGGCAAATTGGACGTGATCGTCAACAACGCTGGTATCGCGAGCAGGGTATCGATCGAAGAGACGACGGTCGAAGAGTGGGACCGTATCTTGGATATCAACTCCAAGGGTGTATTCCTCGGTACCAAGGCGGCGATCATACAGATGAAGAGCCAGGGGGCAGGAGGCTCGGTCATAAACATCTCGTCGATCAGCGGCAACGTAGGGCAGGATACGGTTGCCGCAGCGTACAACGCCTCCAAGGGGGCCGTCAGAATATTTTCGAAGTCGGCGGCCATCCAGTACGCGAGAGGGTATAAGGGTCAACACGATCCATCCTGGGCCGATTCAGACTCCCATGACCCAAGCCGGCTGGGAAGGCGCTGATACATTCGGGGAGGAGGAGTACGTCGCGACGGACAACGCGCCCATGGGCAGATATGGAAAGCCCGAGGAGGTCGCGTACGGCGCTCTCTACCTTGCCTCAGACGAGTCGTCCTACGTAACAGGTGCCGAGCTGATAATAGACGGTGGATAACACCGCTCAGTAGCTCCTGGCAGAGATGAGCACCGTACCAGAGGCCACTCTGGAAGACCTTATCGAGCGGTACTCGGTCATTCTATTTGACGCGTACGGCGTGCTGGCGAACTCAGACCTGGTTGTTCCGGGGGCACGAGAGGCGATAGACCATCTCAACCAGATAGGCAAGCCTTACTTTGTACTGACAAATGACGCCTCTACCCTACCGGATACTCGGGCCGCGCGCTACGAGAAACTTGGGCTAGCCATTGACGCGAAGCGCATCATCACGTCGGGGAGCCTGCTAAAGGGTTTCTTCAGAGAGCACCAACTTGAGGACATTCGCTGCGTCACACTTGGTACGGATGACAGCGCCCGCTTCGTGGAGGATGCGGGTGGAATTGTGGTACCCAGCGATGGTAATTTCGACGCATTGATCATCGGTGACCAGAGTGGATTTCCGCTGCTCGAAACAGGACGAGCGGTATTGACCGGGCTGTTTCGCCTAATTGACAGTAACCGCGCTCCCAGGCTCATCCTCCCCAATCCTGACCTGATCTACCCGAGCGATGATGGTTTCGCGTTCGCCAGCGGTACGGTTGCCCAGATGTTCGAAGGGGCATTGACGCTCAGGTACCCAGACCGTCCAGAACTGAAGTTTACGAGGCTCGGCAAGCCGCACGCCGCGATATTCCAAGAGGCATATCGTCGGACTGGCACGATGGACATGGTGATGATCGGTGACACTCCCGACACCGACATCAGGGGCGCAAACAGCTTTGGCATTGCGTCAGCGTTGATTGGGACCGGAGTATCGACGCAGGACGTCTCTAAGCTGCCTGCTGGCGACGTACCTACTTACATTATGCAGTCGTTGGCCCTGAGCTAGTTGCGGGCAGTCTCTTCGATCACCATCGGGTTGTAACAGGCCAGAGTGTGGCCGGGTTCAACCTCAAGTAGCGGAGGCCGGGGACTGGTACGACACTCTACGGTCGCCTTGGAGCACCGTTGCAGGAATGGGCACTGGTCCGGAGGGTCGAGCATCTGTGGAGGAGCACCGCTCAGAGGTCTGAGCTTCTGGTTGACAGAGTCCAGACGGGGGAGCGACTGGAACAGGCCCCATGTGTACGGGTGCATTGGGCGCCTATACAGGGCAGGAGTATCGGCGTACTCGACCACATACCCACCATAGACGACGGCTACGTTCTCGGCCATCTGTGCAATTACCCCAAGGTCATGGGTGATAAGCATAATTGCGGTGCCGCTCTCCTGCCTAAGATTACGCAGACGCTGGAGCATCTCGGCCTGGAGCGTGACATCAAGGTTGGAAGTAGGCTCGTCAGCAATTAGTACCCTTGGCTTCAGGGCGACTCCGATCGCCATCATCACGCGCTGGGCCATTCCTCCACTTAGCTGGAACGGGTAACGACTGAGCATCTGCTTAGCGTCCGGGATGCCCATGTTGGCCAATAGGTCGGTGGTCACCTGCTGAGCTTCCCGCTTGCTCATGGCGGTGTGCTCCAGCATCAACTCCTCGACCTGACTGCCGATTGTGATGACGGGGTTCAGAGCGGAAGCCGCATCCTGAAATATCAGCGAAATCTGCCGTCCGCGGATGTTGCGCATCTCGTCGTCCGTCATCTGAAGGAGATCGCGGCCCCCGTACAGGATCTGACCTGCGACGATCTGACCAGGGTACGGGATGAGCTTCAGAATTGAGAGAGCGGTCATTGTTTTTCCCGACCCGCTCTCTCCAACGACGCCAAGTACGCTGTCCTCATCCAGCGACAGCGATACGCCATTGACGGCCTTCACTATGCCTTCGTTGGTTGCGAAGTACGTATGGAGGTTTTTGACTTCTAGTATAGGGGCCATCGGAAGTCGGTTCTCAGACTTCTGACATTGTATGGCCAGAAGTCAGCCCAAGGACGGTGCAGGTGCTATGTTGATGCGCTGGTCAAAACGGGATTTCGGGCAGTATCGAGAACGACGGGGCTGAACCTGCCCGCTCGTAATTCGGTTATAAGATCGTCCAAGCAGGTTATGCGACGCTCGAACTCGGTGGCAAAATGTCCCAAGATCTTCGAGCTTGTGGGCGTCGCTTGCGCCCGTACCGGGCAGGTCGAACCATTTCGCCAGATCGCGACTGAACGCGTTTTCTTCTTCCAAGCCTCGCCCGTTGAACACCTCAACGCCGTTGACCATGTCGAACATATGGTTTCGTGACGCTCTTTCGAGCATCTCGTGATACGCAGATTCGCTAGTGTGGGCACCCTTGCGATAGGTCCTTCGGTATGGATGTGCCACTACCATCGCCCCCTCTTCCCTGTCCAGTTGTCCTTTACGAATGTCGCCCGATGCATTCCGAATATGTACTTGCGTAGGCCGTACACAAGCAGGTGACCCTCCTCAGTGGTCACTTCGCAACCCGGCAGTACAAGAAAGTTGTGCCTTTTCGAGAGATCGTCAACCTCGCGATGGTCCCAAAATCCGTCGTGGTCGGTTATGCATACCCCGTCGAGTCCAATGCTCTTGGCCTGTTCTATCAACTCATCGGCTTCGATAAAGCTGTCGACAGGGACGGGGAACGTGTTGGGTA